CAATTCTTTCGACTTTTGAAGCATCTACTGTGGGACATGTGGTTGGGCATTGTCATGAAGTTATATCCTTTCTGTTGACCAATACCAGCTGCAGGCACTGAAGTTTTCAGTGTATCTCACTGATTTGCTGTGCATACTTCTCAGGTGTAATGATTTGTCGAGGATTCAGAAAGTTGTAGTGGATCTGACCAGCAGCAGACCACCAAATGTTGACCATGACCTGTTTTTGGCACAAGTTTGGCTTTTGGAAGTGCTTTGGAGTTTATTCTCAGTCCAACCACTGAGCTGGTCATATAAAATCCATTTTTTGTCGCATGTCACAATCCGAGAGAGAAATGGTTCCTTGTTGTTTCATAGAATAAGAGAAGACAACACTTCAAAATGATGATTTTTTTTTTTATTTTCACTCAGCTCGTGAGGCACCCACTTATCAAGCTTTTTCACCTTTCCAATTTGCTTCAAATGCTGAATGACCGTAAAATGGTCAACTTTGATTTCTTCAGCAACTGCTCGTGTAGTTGTGAGAGGATCGGCTTCAATGGTTGCTCTCAATTGGTTGTTTTCAACTTCCAATGGCCAGCCCATATGCTCCTCATCTTCAAGAGCCTCGTCTCCTTAACAAAACTTCCTGAACCACCACTGCACTATATGTTCATTAGCAGTTCCTGGGCCAAATGCATTGTTGATGTTGCAAGTTGTCTTCACTGCAACCCATTTTGAACATTGTTGATGTTGCAAGTTGTCTTCACTACAACCCATTTTGAACTAGAATTTTTAAAATTGCTCAAATTTTCTTTTTGTCTAATACTATTTCCATACTCTAAAATAAACATAAAATAAACAGCAAGTAATAGGTCATTAGGAAAACAACATAAAGTGAGAGATGTCCATTAAAATGATGTGTAACTTAACCATGTTTATTTAAGAATATATTCCAGTCTCAAACAGAAAATTCCAAGGCAAAAACTTCAATTACTTTTGCACTCACCTAATATAACCACAATTTTATAGATTAAAAAGAGTCTGAGTGAAGTTAACTAATTTTTATTGAAGAAGGACAGAAAATATCAGAGCTGAATGTGAAATGAAAATTGAATCTTGAGTGTATTCTCTCTTAATCTCTACAAAATCTCTCTCTCTCTCCCCAATTCCTCCCTTTCTACACACACACACACACACACACACACACCCCATGCCATGGGCATAAATACTTCTATTGTATGATTTATATAATGTACTTGTTAAGGAGTCAAATCAAGATTTGTAGATTTCTTAACATAAATCTAGCACCAGGACAGAAATAAACAATTTGAGATGGGCTAGAAATATCATTCCCATGCAGATATGGCAGGCTTACAATATCAGAGGATAGTGCCAGGGTTGGCCTGTGAGTTCTTGAGTAGAACACCCCTATTCTGTTATGTTTTTTCTGGTCGTAACTTCTACCTCATTAGCAAAGTTGTCAATAAAGCTGAAAATTGTACTATTTCTTGCATTTTTAATAGATTTTAGTTTTTAGAGCAATTTTAGGTTCACAGCAAAATTGGAGTATACAAAGAGTTCCCGTATACTCCTTGACTCCACATTTGCACATCCTCTCTTAGTATCAACAGATGTAGAATGGTACATCTGTTGCAGCTGTTGAACCTACATTGGCAAGTCATTATCACCCAGAATTTACAGTTCACATTAGAGTTCACTCTTGGTAGTATCTATTCTATGGGTTGTGACAAACATACAATGATACATGTCCATCATTATACTTACTGGCTGCATTTAAAGTTTGCTTCTGAGTTAGCAATTGCAAGTCTAACTGAAATTTGTCTTAGAAGATAAAGCATCTTGACATACTGTCAGAAATCTTGGGCCATAATATAGTTAATAAAGTGTTTGAGTAAGGAATAATATAATTTTATAAAAGCAACTGGTATTGGCCAACAGATGTAGCTTTGACAACCTGTGTTAGATTTCCAAATATTCTGTCTTAAAATTTACTTTAGAAAATGTATATAACAGTATTAAGTAAATCTATTTAAATGTCGTAGTTAATTTTTTTGCAGTTTTGTAAAATTTTATTATATTATATATTTGATGATTTTCCTCTCTCCTTTACAATCTTTTGTAGTTTATTTATTATTTTTAATATATATTTGATTGCATTTTAGGTTTTGGGGTACATGTGAAGAACATGCAAGTTTATTGCATAGGTACCTACATGGTAATGTGGTTTGCTGCCTTCCTCCCCATCACCTATATCTGGCATTTTTCCCCATGTTATCCCTCCCTAACTCCCTACCCCACCTTCTCCCTCCCCTATTCCCCCAAACAAACCCTAGTGTGTGATGCTCCCTCCCTGTGTCCATATGTTCTCATTGTTCAACACCTGCTTATGAGTGAGAACATGTGGTGTTTGATTTTCTGTTCTTGTGTCAGTTTCCTGAGAATGATGGTTTCCAGGTTCATCCATGTACCTACAAAGGACACAAACTCATCATTTTTTATGGATGCATAGTATTCCATGGTGTATATGTGCCACATTTTCCCCATCCAGTCTATCATCGATGGGCATTTGGGTTGGTTCCAAGTCTTTGCTATTGCAAACAGTACTGCAATGAACATTCATGTGCATGTGTCCTTATAATAGAACAATTTATCATCCGTTGGATATATACCCAGTAATGGGATTGCTGGGTCAAATGGAATTTCTATTTCTAGGTCCTTGAGGAATCACCACACTGTCTTTCACAATGGTTGAACTAATTTACACTCCCACCATCAGTGTAAAAGTGTTCCTATTTCTCCACATCCTGTTAGAATGGTGATCAGTAATGAATTTTTATGGGAGTCCAGAGTGAGTCTAAGTTGTTTGACGCTAAATATTAATTTGTGTTTTAGTAAATATCTTGTTTGCTACAGACCTAAGAACGTTCAGTACAGCAGGAAAAATAAGACCAAATGTTATATTTATGACAAATATAAGAATAATATTTTCACTATGATTTATTCTCAAAAATAAAGTGATTCAACTATGGAAGGTAATTTGTAGTAAAATTAATTTCAAGGTACTGGCATTAAAAAAAAATCCACATTTTAAATTTCATCAAAACATTTATAAAGAGTTTACATTTCTTAATATTTTACCCCTAAAACATTTATATTGACATAATAACCAACTCCCTGGAATATTTGGAATACTCAAGAACTTCAAATGAACCTAGGCCAGGCTCAATGGGTGTGACAACTTCTGCTGGCTCAGGGGTTTTTAAATAAACAAAGATAATATAATTATAGAATGAGAGTGCTACTAGAATTAATAGTGTCAACTCTATCAGTCAAATTATTAACACATAGCTATATTCAACTATTTGAAAAGTTCTATTGATGATATCACCAAAGAATATTTCAAATCTTTCCATTTGCTTCCATCATCACTGTTACTCTCCTGTCCAAACTTATTTCCAACCTGGTCTGCAATGGACTCTGATCCTAGTTTCCAGAGCCCATCTGGGTCCATTGCCCCTCCCTTAAATTAATCCCATCTGTGGTTGGCTGCTAGTATAAGCTTTATAAAATACATTTGGATAAATTATCTCAGAGTTCCTCATTACCCTTATGATGAAGTTAAAAAAAAAAAAAAAGGAAAAAATCATCCTCTTCACTGGAAGCCTCTGAATGATTTAGCCACCTCTGACTCCACCATGATTTTTATACTACAACCAGCTTCTTATTCACTAAACTCTACCTACACTAGTCTTCTCTCTCATCCTTCAACTTGTCAAGACCTCCCCAGTCCCAAAGCATGTTGTTCCCCTTGCTTCTTTTCTTCTATTTTCTGGTTAATTTCTGTTCATCCTTCAAGTCTTATCCTACATGTCTCTTTCCCAAGGCATTCTCCTCTGACATCCCTAACAAAGATATCAGTTAGGTAGCTATGCTATAAGCTCTCACAGCATCCGGAAATTTTACTTTGTAGCACTTAACCACAATTTTATCCTAACAATTATTATTGTATTGGCATAATGTGTTTTTTCCCCTCCACTAAGCTCCTTGAAACCACGTGTGTTGTTCGTAATTGACTTCCCTAATAGCCTGATGAAAAATTAAAATCATCTGAAGACACTGAAAAGAATCCTAATACCTAGACCATGCCCCACATCAATTAAATAAAAGTTTAAGTGCTGCCCTGAGTATCAGTACTATTTTAAACTCCCTACTATTTTATTTTAAATTTCTCATAGTGATTCAAATGGAATTTAAGATTGAGAACATCTGACTTTACACAATATTTGTCATAAAATAGATGTTTAAGAAGCATTAGTTGTATTAAAAAGTAGATTAGAAATATTGAGATGGCCCCATGATGAGGCATTCACATAGAAGCAAAATAATTAGCCAAGTTTAAATAAAATAGAATTTTGAAGAACCCTCTAAATAGGTTAGATGTCTTAACCTATGGAGATTTAAAAAATCATTATTCATATCCACTAAGAAAACACAATCTAAGTAAAGCTATATCTGACAAGTAAATAAAATTACTATAACCACAAAATAGAAGATAAGAAACTTGTTATAAATAAAAGAGTCATCTCCCAGTAGAAAAATAAATGTTTGTTTGGACTGGGGAGCAGTAAAAGAGAAATTACAGAGGTGTGAGGTTTGGGACTATCTGTATCCACGGAGCTTAACTAACAGGACTGAGAACTGAAGCCATCTCTGTCAACATGAGTTAACCACTTTTTCCAGTGAAATCTTTCTCAGAAAGATAAGACTATAAACCAATAGATAGCTTCCCTGTTTGCTTCACTAAATTTCTACAAACCAATATTTCTGAACAAACAGTTTTCTCATCTGGGCAAATAGTTCTCCTATGAGGACATTAGATTGCTCATGTGGGCAAACATCTCATTTGTCAATCTCACTTCAAGGTTCTCATCTTGCTGGGTCCACCAACTGTAAATTATTATACTATTTACTTTGTTCTATCTTAATCAGTTTCTCACCTTGAGACACTTGACTTAAGCTGGTAGAGTCCTGACATCGAAAGCTTTCAATCTTCTGCTGACTTTTCCATTTTGAAGACCCACTAAGTGTCTTTCAAAATGAGAAATCTTTCTGAAAAGTCCTTTGACATTGATCAGATTTGAAACACTGTATCTTCAGTGGAAGCAGACTTTGTTTCCATCTTTTCTCTATTGACAATAGATTCCATCTTTTTTTCTATCTACAACATAGACAAATAGTAAGAAAACAATTATGACCCGGGTTTTCACTTCATTACTAAGCCAGGACTTTATTACATGTGCATAACAATTTAACAAGCAGTGTATCAAGACATGAATGTACCTAAATGAAACCAAGAGAGCAAATCTCATCCTTAATTTGGAGAAACTTCTGCTCCATAGGAAGTAGAGTGGTCCATGGTACACAGTGTCTTAAAAACAAATACAGTGTCTCTACCTGTGAATGTAGAGGATAGTACAGAGACTTGTTCTCTGAGGCCTGAGTACCTTCAGCTAGAAGGGGTATATATAAAGCCCTGCTTTAGCCACAGTTACCAGTTATATTTTTCAAGTATTCTTATGTTGATATCACAATTACTTAGGACTCAAAGGGAAGGCAGGTTAAACAATTAACATCCTCTATCCTCTGACGAAATGCTATACTTTAAGTCAATCTCTATCTTAATAGTCAGCAAATAGATCAACAAACCACGTTTTTATTTGGTCCAGATAATTAGAATAAAAACAAGAAAAAAAATTAGGTCTTGGTTCAAGTTATAAAATTCTGTTATCTTTTAATCACATGTCTTAACAAGGGCATTTTGAATCTATATTAGGCCATTATTGCATTGCTATAAAGAAATACCTGAGACTGTATATTTATAAGAAAAAAAGTTTAAATGGTTCATGGTTCTAAAGGCTGTGTAGGAAGTGCAGTGGTATCTGCTTCTGATGAGGCCTCATGATGCTTCCAATCATGGCAGAAGGAGAAGTAGGAGCAGGCACATTACACAGAAAAAGCAGGGGCAAGTGAGGGGGGAGAGATGCCACACCAGATCTTAAGAGAAGTCACCTAGCTGTGGTGAGGACAGCACCAAAGGAATGATGTTAAACCATTCATGAAAAGTCTACCCCCATGATTTCAACTACCTCCCACCAGGATCCATCTCCAACATTGGGATTATGCGTCAACATGAAATTTGAGTGTGGCAAATATCTAAGCCATATTATTCAATCCCTGGGCTCCCTTAAATTTCATGTACTTCTCATATTCAAAATACAATCATCTTTGCCTAATAGTCCCTGCAAAGTCGTAACTCATTCCAGCATTAACTCAAAAGTCCTAAGTTCAAGTCTAAAGTCTCTTCTGAGACTCACCTTCTTCTACCTATGAGCCTGTAAAATCAAAGAAAGTTATCTATTTCTAAGATCCAATGGAAGTAGAGGTATTAGGTAAACACTGCCATTCCACAGCAGGAATCAGCCAATGGAAATGAGCTGCAGGTCTCATTCAAGTTCAAAACCCAGCAGGGCAGTTATGAAATATTAACATTCCAAAATAATCTACTTTGACTCCATGTACCACATCCAGACAACACTGCTGGTAGTAAACTCCCAAAACCGTGGGCAGCTCCACCTCTGTGGCTTTGCAGTGTTCAGGCCGCACAGCTTCTCACAGTTTGGGGTTGTGTACTTGTGACTTTTTTTTCATTCACCATATCAATATCTCTACTTGAAATTGTATACATTTATATGTAATTTAATTATCAAGTTGGATTTACTTTAGGCTTTCTGCTTTTTGTTTAAGAAGTTTGTTTAAGAGTATTTCACACATGGAAATTATGAAACTACAGAATTCTTCACCAAATAAAATCAAAGTCATCTTATGAGTCTCTTGGGGTGTCTGTATTTGTCCAGAAAATTTACTGAGCATCTTCTCTTTACTAGGCAATGTGCTAAGAACTGAGCACTAAATTCTGCCACATTCACTAATCACAGCAAAGGTATCATTTATTCCAGAGTTACACATGTTATTGTACCTCCTGCTGGTCCATGTTACCTCTAATCTTAGCACAAGCATATTTTAATCTCTGTAACAATCTTAAATCTCTTTAATAATCTTTAATCTCTTTAGCAATCTCTTTATAATCCTAAAAATTACACTACCAAAAGAAATGGTAAGAGTCTCTTCCAGGAAGAAGAGAAAACAAAAGACAAACTTCTTTAACTTTACCTTCTAAAATAATTTCTCTTTGATAAAGAAGTTACTTTTCCTCTTTGTTTCTTATCTATTCATAATGAAGGCTGTAATGCATGTGCGCTTGGATTCAACAAGATGTCACAACATGTGAGAAGATGAGGTAGAAAAGATGGAAGTGTTAAAAAGAAACTTTTGTGAATGAGAGATTAGACTTTTGGGCTTTAATAGAGATGGCTGATCTAAGACTGATGGGTACAGAAATAGACATTAGCTCAATGGAAGAAAGAGCATTCTCAGAATTAAAGCAATAAATAAAAGGGAATCAATTTCTCATGAAGTCTTTGTCTCTGGAGTTATCTGGGAAAGATCAGGTAGCCACTTAGTGAGTCCATCCAAATGAAATAAAAAGACAGAGGGGTGATTTAAATTGTTCTTTACCAAGTGTGAGACTTTTAGGTGGTAGCTGTTAAGTAAATGGCATCTCTTGCTTGCTACCAGGAATGGATGTTTGAACACTTCTGCCCGCTGTATCTCACTATCAGAGTTACCAAGGAAGACACAACTTAGTCAAACAGTGAATGGAACAACATTTTATCCACAGAGGAAAGCGACAGAGCAAGATTGGCTTCAGGAGTGGGCGCCGGTCCCTATAGCCAGTGGGTCCCTTCCAGCAGCGAATGCAAGGGAATTAGCCAGCACTCCTCTTGTGTCACAATAGAAAGAACTTGTTCCCTTCCTATAGGGAATAGATGCAGCAGTTGGGATGGCCAGGTGCTGCACAGTGCACATGCTTAAGCAGAACAAAAAGTGAAGACTGAGTCTGAAACAGGAAAGATATTCCCACACAAGTCCGTCAAAGGCTGAGAGAAAGCTCTATCTCTTGGTAAGGAAGTGCTCCAGGTCCAGGTCCCATCCTTAGGGGGCAAAGAGGGAGCTCAAAGACTGTATGTGTTTGAGACTGCCTTTCCCCAAACCAGCATGTTACCTTAACTAAATAGGAAGTGCTCCAGGTCCAGGGCCCTTCCTTACAGAACCAACAGGGAGCTGAAAGACTGTATATTTGAGACTGCCTTTCCCCAAACCAGCATGTTACCTTAACTAAATAGGAGAGTTTGCCTTCACTCTTTCTTTAATTCCAGTAAGAGAAAGACTGAGTTCAGAACTAGTAGAACTTTAACACTTAGAAATCTTCTCTTTAACCAAGTGAAGGGAGGTCCCAGGCCCAGAATGTTTAATGGGTAACAGTCATTCAGTGGAACTTGTTATATTCATATTCATTTTCATTATTACCTTTTATTTATGACAAATGAGTCTGGATTTTTTTACTTAAGATAGTAATACAAAGTTTACTCTTTAAGTAAATGTGTAGAACATGAGATAACTTTAAAATACAGCAGTCCTCCCTTATCTGCTGTTTCACTTTGCAGGGTTTCTGTTGCCTGGGGTCCATTGTGATCCAAAAGTATTAAAAGGAAAATTCTGGAAATAAACCCTTCATAAGATGAAATTGTGTGCTATTCTGAGTGGTGTGATGACATTTCATGCTGGCCAGTGTTAACCCACCAGGGATGTAAACCTTCCCTTTGTCCAGGGTACCACGCTACAGATGCTACCCAGTTCTTAAATCACAAGAAGGAGAAGTACAGTAAAATGAACTACTTTGAGACAGAGAGAGAGAAAGAGATCACGATTATCTAACTTTCATTATATCATTATAATTATTTTATTATTAGTTATTATTAATCTCTTACTGTGCCTATTATATAAATTAAACTTTATTATAAGTATGCATTTATAGAAAAAACATAGTATCTATAGAGTTCAGTACTACCTGAGTTTCAGGCATCCGCTGAGGGTCTTGGAACATATCCCAGGATAAGGGGAACTAGTGTATTAAGTAAATGAGAGTATAGGTAGCAATGTTTATGTCAAAAATTATAAAGTAATATGCAAATAGTAAAGTTTGGAAAATGCTAATTGAGATTATAAATGAAATAATTTAATCGTGAAATTTTGTGGCACAAATTGCATTTCATTTTGCAAATAGGTATTAGGGATGGTGAAAGATATTTCTGTTGGTCCCAACCCTTAAACATTTAACTTAGTGATATGGTTTGGCTGTGTCCCCACCAAAATCTCATCTCAAATTCCCACATGTTGTGGAAGGAACCTGGTGGGAGGTAATTGAATCATGGGGGCAAGTCTTTCCTATGCTATTCTTGTAATAGTGAATAAGTCTCACCAGATATGATGGTTTTAAAAAGAGGAGTTTCCCTGCACAAGCTCTCTCTTTTGCCTGCTGCCATCCATTTAAGATGTGACCTACTTTTCATTGCCTTCCACCATGATTGTGAGGTTTCTCCAGCCATGTGGAACAGTAAGCCCAATTAAGTCCTTTTTCCTGTATAAATTACCCAGTCTCAGGTATGTCTTTATCATCAATGTGAAAATCGACTCATACAGTAAATTGTTACCAGTAGAGTTGAGTGCTGCTTCAAAGATACCCAAAGATGCAGAAGTGATTTTGGAACTTGGTAATAGGCAGAGGTTGGAACAGTTCAGAGGGCTCAGGAGAAGAGAGAAAAGTTTGAGAAAGTTTAGAACTTTTAGAGACTCCTCAAATGGCTTTGACAAAAACGCTGACAGTGATATGAAAAACAAGGTCCAGGCCAAAGTGGTCTCAGATGGAGATGAGGAACTTTTTGGGAACTGGAGCACAGGTGACTCTTGTTATATTTTAGCAAAGACACTGGCAGCATTTTGCCACTGCCCTAAAGATTTATGGAACTGTGAACTCGAGAGAGAGGATTTAGGATATCTGGTGGAAGAAATTTCTAAGCAGCAAGGCATTCACGATGTGACTTGGGTGTTGTTAAAGGCGTTTGGTTTTAAAAAGGAAACAGAACATAAGAGTTCAAAAAATTTGCAGCCTGACCATGTGATAGAAGAGAAAACCCCATGTTCTGAGGAGAAATTCAAACTGGCTGTAGGAATTTGCATAAGTAATGAGGA